GACAGAGTCTTACTCTGTCACCCACGCTGGAGTGCAGTGGCGCAATCTCAGCTCACTCAAACTGCACCTCTCAGGTTCAAGCGATTCTCCTGCCTCAGCCTCCTGAGTAGCTGGGATTACAGGCCTGCGCCACCATGCCTGGCTAATTTTTATATTTTTAGTAGAGACGGGGTTTTACCGTATTGGTCAGGCCGGTCTCAAACTCCTGGCCTTGTGATCCACCTGCCTCGGCATCCGACAGTGCTGAGATTACAGGCATAAGCCACTGCGCCCGTCCAGGAAGGCCTTCTTGATGGCTGTGCAGTTGCCTGTCTGTGCTTCCTGGGGCCCAGGCTGGCACAGGGAAGAGCTGGTGTCCCAGAGGTGGATGAGTGATAACTGAGTGCTGCTTGTTCTATCTGTAGATACAGCAGCAGCAACAGCAGCTGCAGCGAATGGCACAGCTGCAGCTCCAGCAACAGCAGCAGCAGCAGCAGCAACAGCAGCAGCAGCAGCAACAGGCATTGCAGGCCCAGCCGCCAATTCAGCAGCCACCGATGCAGCAGCCACAGCCTCCGCCCTCCCAGGCCCTGCCCCAGCAGCTGCAGCAGATGCATCACCCACAGCACCACCAGCCACCGCCACAGCCCCAGCAGCCTCCAGTTGCTCAGAACCAACCATCACAACTCCCGCCACAGTCGCAGACCCAGCCTTTGGTGTCGCAGGCGCAAGCTCTTCCTGGACAAATGTTGTATACCCAACCACCACTGAAATTTGTGAGTACCTGTGGCCTGCAGCTCATGGCTCTGTCAACAGCAGTTTCTACGTTCTTTGGCTAGAGACAGCATGTCCTATTATTCAAGAGTTGAGACTTCCGGCAGCCCCACCCTTTGCCAGCCCTGCCACCTCTAGTATGGCTCAGCAGGGGAGCATGTGTTTTGTGTTTCATGTTCCAGGAGCTGCATCTGCACCCCATACAGGTTGCTGCTGCTGCTGGGGCAGCAAGTCACATTCCAAGCAGCGTGGCTGATTGCAGTAGTGCTGTGGGGCCTTTCAGGGTATAGGTGATTTGACTGATGGGCACCACGTGGAAGGATGTGCCAGCTCTATCAGTGTCTGGTGGTTTGCCAACTGTTCCGAGTTACATTCTAAACAAATATCTTTTTTTTCTCTACACTCTGCCAAGTCTCAGGAGAACAAAATTCATTACTATATTTTTGAGGGGAGTATTAACATAAAAGACTGTTATTCCCAGTCTCATTTTGTATCTCTGCACAAAGCCAGTCTAGTCAGTGACACTGGCACAGAGGACAGAGTATTATCACCAGGATGGAGTGAGCTGTACCATGGAGTCTTTTGGACAACTGTTTGGCTCACTTAGTTTTTGTGGCCATTTCTACTTGGATTCATTGAGTGGAGCGGGGCCTGAGCCAAGCGTGGGGGTGAACAGGAGGCCTCACAGAGGCAGGCTGGAAGTCTAGGAGAGTTTTGAGGAGCAGATATGGTCACTCATCTGTCACCTGGGAGCCAACACACTGACCCCTGAGACTGTGTGGACTGGAACCCTTGTGTGCTGCATGGGGGGGTGTGCCCTGGTGGAGTTTGTCCTGTTGGCTTGGAGTTGTCTAAGGAGGAGCCCCCTGTGTGATGGTGCAGGCCTTGTCCCTCTGGAGTCCCCTCCATGCAGTGTATTCACAGTTGCCCCTTTTGCCCAAGCTTGCCCCCCGCTTTTTTTTTTGAGACAGGGTCTCTCTCTGTTGTCCAGGCTGTAGTGCACTGATGTGATCAGACCTCCCTTGCTCAAGCGATCCTCCTACCTCACGCTCCCAAGTAGCTAGGGCTACAGGTATGCATCCCCACACCCAGCCAAATTTTTATATATTTTGTAGAGATCGGGTTTGGCCATGTTGCCCAGGTTGGTCTCAATCTCCTGGGCTCAAGCAATCTGCTGGCCTTGGCCTTCCAAAATGCTGAGAATACAGACAGGAGCCACTAGGCCCTTCCTTCTGCTGGCCGGCTGGTGACCCTGCTTTACTTCAAGGAATGAGGCTGGGTGACGCTCTTGTGGACCTTCAGTATGCTTGGCCCAGAGGATGGGCAGGCTAGGCTGTAAGCTCTGCATTGGAAGCTGTCACTGCTTGTGGTGATAGCTGATGCTGAGGGATATGTGGAGACATACCAGTGGGAGGGCTGTGCTGCCTCTTGCCAGAGTTGGATTTGAGCTTATGGGATCCTAAATGGCCAGTGAGGTGACATCACAGCACATGAAATCATGAAAGTCCCATTCCCCATCTCAAGAAAGGCCCCATTTCCTAAGCTCCCACAGGAAGAGTGGGCTCTGCTCTCTGCCTCAGGTGGTTCCAAATCACATTCTGTCTTCCTCCCACAAGGTCCGAGCTCCAATGGTGGTGCAGCAGCCCCAGGTGCAGCCCCAGGTGCAGCAGCAGACAGCGGTACAGACAGCTCAGACTGCCCAGATGGTGGCTCCCGGAGTCCAGGTGAGGGTCTGGGGGCTGTGGGCTCCGTAGTCACTGGCAGGTGCAGTGTCACCTGTGCATGGTGTGCTACAGTGAGAGTCCTGGTTTGATTAGGTGCTGGGGCTAAGTTGGTAAAGCAGGGGCTTCTCTCCCCCTTGCACTCTGTGAGACACCCCTAGAGTCCTTGGGGTGGCCAGCTGTGTGTGCTTGGTCATGTCTAGGACCCACTGGCTGCATAGTGCATGTTGTTTCTAGTTTTGCTTGGGCATCTTTCATCATCCTTCTTCCTTACCACTCTGAGTCACTCTGGGAATGTGTATCAGAGAGTAGAAGGCTGCAGTTTCATCCTCACCTCTCACCTTCCATTTGAGAGTCTGAGTACAGAGCGGACCAGGGTGGAGGGCAGCTTTCCGAAGCAGCTGGGAGCCATACGCAGCAGGAGTGTGGGAGAGGGCATTCTGGTGCTCACCTGCACTCAGGGACTCCAGCGTTGTGTGGTGAGAAGCGTGCCACTCTCATGTTGCCGAGCCTGCTGGTGTGTCACGTGTGTGGAACATGTGTCTCTGTGTGTCAAGTGTTAGTGAATGCAGACGGGCTCACCTGGCCTCCTAGTGTCCTGGATTGGAGGCCCAGGATTTCTGTACTTTCTTGGATAGCCCCACCTCTCCTTGCTGCCACTGAGGCGGGGAGACGTACAGTCTGGGGCTTCAGTTCTTTCTGTTTCCACATGGTGGTGGAAACACTGTTGATCCTGACTTGGATGGGGTGTTGGCTTTAGAAAGAATCAGAATGTGCTAGTTGATGTGGTAAGACTGTGGCTGAGTTTCAGCCCACAGCTGGCAGTATGCCTACACTTTGCTGTCATCTTAAGGGTGCCAGCCACACACCTGGTCTTATGATTTTCTGCAGGCCTGCTGGGTGCAGTGCCTGGGTGCGCAGTGCTGCATGGCAGGCTGCATCTCACACCTGGGGGTTGCTCCGTAATGTCCTTCCTGGTGACTGCTGCCTCTTTCAGGTCCCTGGGAAGCCACCTGAAGGGGAAATCTGAGGGGTTTGGCTGTAGCTGAGCTTGCATCCTACCTCGGCATGGCACCAAATGACTTGGGCCCAGGGTCCGCATGTCACCTTCTTACTTAAATGGAGCCTTGTGTGAAACACACCACAAAACTCACTTTTACTTACAGCTGAGGGAGGCTGACCACCTTGTGTGACGAAGTTGGTGGTCTCTGCCATCTCCCTGTGTGTCTCGGCATGTCTTCAGGCTTCCTGGGGGACTCCCTTGTCCTGGTCTCTCATGCAGAGGAAGGATGTGGTGTGTGTTCAGAGCCAGCTTGGTGGTGGCACATAGTGACTGCCCAGCCATTGGAAGCTGCTGCCTTTGCCTCTTTGGACTGTCGTTCTCCTGTTCAGGACCTCACTTCATGGAAACTTCTATACCACAGGTCAAGCCCAGCAGGAAAGTGAAAGCTGCTCTTTTTTTTTCTGAGACAGAATCTCACTGTCACCCAGGCTGGATTGCAGTTGCGTGATCTTGGCTCACTGCAACCTCTGCCTCTTGAGTTCAGGCAGTTTGTGTGCCTCAGGCCCCCAAATAGCTGGGACTGCAGATGCATACCACCACACCTGGCTAATTTTTGTATTTTTAGTAGAGATGGGGTTTCACCCTGTTGGCCAGGCTGGTCTTGAACTCCTGACCTCAAGTAATCTGACTGCCTCAACTCTCAGAGTTCTGGTATTGCAGGTGTTAGCTATCATGCCCAGCCTAGAACTTACCTTTTCTTTTTTCGTTTTTTCTTTCTTTTTTTGTTTGAGACAGAGTCTTGCTCTGTCACCTAGGCTAGAATGGCTGGAGTGCAGTAGTATGACCTCGGCTCGCTACAACCTCCATCTCCTGGGTTCAAGTGATTCTCCTGCCTTAGCCTCCCAAGTAGCTAGGACTACAGGCACGCCACTACACCCAGCTTATTTTATGTTTGTTTGTTTGTTTTTGTATTTTTAGTAGAGATGGGCAAGTCTTGTCTTAAACTCCTGACTTCGAGTGATCCACCTGTGTCAGCCTCCCACAGTGTTGGGATTACAGGCGTGAGCCACTGTGCCCAGCCGAACTTTCCTTTTCTTTCCATTTCTTGGTATTTGGAAAGTGAGCATCCATGGAACAGCCAATGTTTTCAGCTGTTGCAGGCCCAGCTGGTATGTTCATTAGGCTTCTGGCTCAAGAAAGTGTCCTCCATGCAGTCTTGCTGGCATCCCATTACCTTCCAGAAGCAGGAGTCGGCTGTGTGTGCTCATGGCCCATGCTGAGCCTGTCCTCGGGGCGCTAGTCTTCCTGCCAGTTTCTCCAGCCCTTGTTTCAGGTAGAGGTCCCTGCCTCGCTGGCACAGGAAGGAGAATGGAGGGTGGTCACCACTGTGGTTAGTTGCAGAGTGAGTTTGGTGTTTTAAAGAGCATTGCCTACCTGCCCTGTGGCACCATGTGCTGCCATGCAGGGAATTCCCAAGTGCTGGGTGGCAGAGGAGCCTTGTAGGTTCTCGAAGTCCAGCAGTGGGTAGGGTGTATCTATGAGGTACGTCTCAGTCCAAATGTGGCACCTTGAGATTCTGTAACCCGCATTCTGCTGGTTTTCTCTCAGGGCTTGGTTTTGGCCTTGTTACAAGGAAGCAGTTTCTTGGGGGCTGATTGGGCGCCCTCGCTGCATTGTTCCAGCAATAGCAGCGCCCCCTGCTGGGGGAAGAGGGGTGTTGGGCACAGCCAGCCCTCTGAGGGACTGTCTGGATTCATGATCTTCCTTTGAAACTTAAATTGGCAGTGAACAGGTAAGGTACTGTGATCCAAAACCTTAAAAGTATGTGTGGTAACTGTAGAAGCCAGAAAGTAGAGAGAAATAGAAGAGAACCATTCCATGAGAGAGAAGGCTTGGTGTCCTTTCTGGTTCTTTCCCATAGTCAAGGCCATGCTATCCTAGGTTTTGTGCAGCATCTTCCACGTCAACATGGAATGAAATGTCCTTCCTCCTCTAATTAGCAAGCCCTGGTTGACGCCAAGGAACTCTGTCATACTCCTCTAGAATGTCTCCTGCCATCCTCAATTACCGTCTTGTTCTTAGATCTTGAGATAATTTCAGATTTTTTGCTATTACCAGTGATGCATATCTTGATGTCCTAGATTGTTCCTGAAGCTGATCAGAGGTAAGTGACTGGTTCACTTTGAGGGCCTTCTGATCTGATCAGCTGCCATCTAACGAGAAGGTCAGAGATGCAGATTGGAGCTCCCTTTGTGGTGCTCACACCTCGTGGTGCTCACACAGTGAACATCAGGACACGGTGACCATGTGCTGCAGCTTTGTGTGAGCTGCTGTGTGCTGCAGAAACAGGCCTTTGAGTTCATTAATGAAATTCTGGGATTGGGGGCACCAATGCAGGCAGGCTTCCATGCCCTGACTCTCAGGTTTGCCCTCTGAGAGCCGAAGAGAGGTGCCCTGTCAGGCCCTTGCAGTGCTGTGGTGATGGGTATGGTAAATGGTAGCCTGGGACTGAGTATTTTAGAAAAATTGCTCAGCCTGTGGTGTGCACACCTGGTTCTCTTTCTAGTGTTATTTATGTAGCTGAGAAGGGTGATGTCACTCACAAGGAGATTTAGCAGGACACAGCAGACTTCTCTTTCTCCCCTATAAAACCAAGACAGGCCAGGCACAGTGGCTCATGCCTGTAATCCCAACACTTTGGAAAGCCAAGGTGAGAGGATCACTTGAGATCCAGGAGTTCAAAATTATCCTGGGCAACACAGTGAGACCCTGTCTTTAAAAAAAATTAAAAGTTAGCTGGGCACGGTGGTGTGTGTCTATAGTCCCAGCTACTCGGGAGGCTGAAGTGGGAGGATCACACAAGCCCAGAGGTTTGAGGTTGCAGTGAGCCTTGATGACAGCATTGTACTCCAGCATGGGAAAGAGAGCAAGACTCTTGTCTCTTTAAAAAAGCAAAAAGCAGGACAGAATGCGTCTCATTTTCTTTTCTTTTTTTTTTCTTTCTTTCTTTTTTTTTTTTTTTTTTTTTTTTTTTGAGATGGGGCCTTGCTCTGTTGCCCAGGTTGGAGTGCAGTGGTGCCATCTTGGTTCACTGCAACCTCCACCTCCTGGGTTCAAGCGATTCTCCTGCCTTAGCCTCCCAAGTAGCTGGGATTACAGGTATGCACCACCACACCTGGCTAATATTTGTATTTTTAGTAGAGACAGTGTTTTGTCATGTTGGCCAGGCTGTTCTTGAGCTCTTGGCCTCAAGACATGTGTCCGGTTTGGCCTCCCAAAGTGCAGGAATTACAGGCATGAGCCACTGTGCCTGGTCATGCATCTCATTTTCAAATGGTCCGTATACTTTTGTCGTTTAACCTTCTATTCTTGTAGTATGTGAAACAGAGCTCTAATTTACAAGTCACAGAGAATTATCATCCAGACTCCCATTATGGATATGGCATTACTGATTCACAGCTGCCCTACTGGAGCCTTGGCCACCCTGGAGGACCCTCTCTCTTTTCTGTGGACCCTTCTGCACAGCAGTTACAGTGGAGAGAGTCAGACCTGGGGGTGGGGGAGAGGTTTTTTTGGATTCCTCTGTGGGTGTTAGGAAGTAGTGAAATGTCATCACTTAACAGTGAATCCTGGGTGGTAGCTGCCTCACTCATCTGATCCATTTGTGTTGGCATTTGTAGTTGAAAGAAATTGGGCTTTCCTTATCAGGAGTTCTCAGTAATAAGAACATCAGTCAGCAGTATATTAGATTTAAGCTTTGCATACCTTGTGTTTTTTTGTTTTTCTCCTCCTGGAAAAAAGTTTGCTTCTCTCATACCATCTGACTTACTTCCAGGCCTTTCTCCCTTGTGGAACGAGTGCTGTTGAGCACTGCTGCACTTTCAGAAGGGCTCCTCCGAAGTGCTGCAGGTAGTGGTAAATAGACTTTTACCCCATTGGGATTGCTTCTTTATGTTTCTCACCCCCAGGAAGTTCATTTGTTGCTCTGGCTGCAGGAATGAGTGAGGTTCTGGTTGGCATCTGCTATGCCGTGTCACTCCCGGCTTCGGTGCCTCCTGTGTGCCCATGGTTGTGAGTGTGGGCCACGTGTGTAAGGCCATGGTTCCCTGCAGCCACTCTCCAGCTGGCACCCATTACTGTTACTGCCACCTGTTGCTGCCTGCGCGGAAGGCTTTTCTTGCTCACCTTTGCCCATTTTTATTAAAACCAGTTCTTCAATAGATACTAGGACCAGCAGCCTCAGAGAGGCCTAGAGGAGGAGATGAGGATGGTTTGGGTTCAGGCTGTAGAGATGTGCCACTGAGAAGGAAGGATGCTGTGAGCAAGCTTCCCTGAGCTCATGGCTCAGTGGCAGTCAAGTGTTCTCATCACAAGCTTTGGTGGAATGTACTCTTTCGACATCTGTCCCCAGGAGCCTGGTCTCCCAGAAACACTAGCCCAGGCCCTCAAGTTCTGGCTCTGATGGTTCTGTGGGCTGTAGGATTCTGCTCTGTTAGCAATGTGTGTTCAGAGGTGTTTTAAGGACACCAGTGTAGGAGAGCAGCCAGTAGAATAGAAAGGTCTGGAAGCACCATTCTTGGCAACTCTTCTAGATTCCCAATGCCCAGACAGACCTGGAGGTGCTGTGGGCTTGAACATGTGGGCGACCTGCCTTTCCAGGCTGCCCCGAGCTGCCCAAGGGTCCCTCGCCCTGGTGCTCCTTCTTGCAGAGGCTACACACGCCCTCTCCACCTGCCCAGGCGCTGAGTTTCTTTGTTGCGATCACCTTGTCTGTTGTCCCTCTGTCCTCAAAGATGATCACGGAAGCCTTGGCCCAAGGTGGGATGCACGTAAGAGCCCGGTTCCCGCCCACCACTGCTGTGTCCGCCATCCCGTCAAGCTCCATCCCTTTGGGCAGACAGCCCATGGCACAGGTATTTACGGGGCAGCGCCCAGGGCATGGCTGGGAGCTCGGGGCGTCCTCTGAGCGCCTTTGTAAAGCACACCTGTCATTATCATCGCCGGTGACTGCCTTTGATGGTGGCTTTCAGAGTGCCAAACCCATAGTCACTTTTTTTCTTAAATGAAGCCAACCCCATCTTGTGCTTCTCGAGAGGATGTGAATAAATATCTGGATATTTTCAGCTTAAAATAGGCTGCAAGGCATTTTCATGGTAAAAATAAAACAGAAGCTAAAGCAGAAGTTTTGCTTTTTAGAGCTATGCTATCTAATAGTGTAGCCACTAAGCATGTGTGGCTATTTACATTTAAATTAACTAAAATTAGGCTGGGCACGGGGGCTCACGCCTGTAATTCCAACACCTCAGGAGGCCGAGATGGGAGGATCACTTGAGGCCAGGAGTTTGAGAGTTTGAGACCAGCCTGGTCCACGTAGCAACACACTATCTCTAATTAAAAAAAAAAAAAAAAGTGTGTGTGTGTGTGTGTGTGTGTGTGTGTGTGTGTGTGTGTGTATTGAAAACAAAACTCTAAAAATCAGCTAAAATTAAGTAAAATGAAAAATGCAGTTCCTTAGTCCCACCAAATACATTTCAAGCCCTTATTTGCCCACAGGTAAGCTAGTGGCTGCTGCAGTGGACAGCACAGACTCCAGAACGTGGCTGTTGTGGACAAAGTGGCATTGGGCCATGCTGTTGTAGAGTTTGCCCTGTAGAGTGTGTAATTTGTAACACACATCCCCTTTCTAGGTAGAGGTAGACTTCTGTGTACATTATGCTTTTCAGGGATATGAATTCCTGGCTCTCTTTATCGTATGAAATTTGGAATTACTCCATGGTATAGTCATTTGTTTAACAAATAGTTACCACATACATTCTGTGTGCCAGGCACTGTGCTAAGATTCTGAGAATAAAATGATGCTGAAGTTCTCTAATCAAACAGGCTTTCCATTTTAGTGGGTTTGTTGTGAAAACCTCAAATTTGCCAAAAGAACTTTACAATTCAGTTTCTGTTTTAGGGGAAATGTTTCTATAATCCTAGCAGACACATGGTCCCTGCCTATCCCTGAATGCCCATGTGCAGGCACTGTCACCACCATGGCTTGTGCAGTGACGCCTCTGCAGCTCTGTTCTACAGAGGAAGAAGTGGAGGCTGAGCCAGGATGACCCTTGGTCCATGTGGCCCCAAGCCTGGTGCCACACACCTCACACTGCCAAGAGAGTGGCCTGGGCCCCCATTCAGGGCACGTTCAGTTTGCCCTCCCCTGCATACTAACTAACCTGTTGGGTTACCCCAGATGTGCCATTTACGTAGTTACTGACTGGAATTTACATTCTTTGGCAGGGACCTCCCGTTTGGTAGATTTTGATTTGCAGGAGGTGGAAGTGCCTAGGATCTGCTGGTAGAAAGGCTTTGGTGAAAGAGCTTTCCAGAGGAGCAGAAGTTGGGGGTGAGGAAGTAGGTTGTGTGGCTGTGGTGGAAAGGAGGCCAGTGTGGGTAGAGGCCAGGGTGCAGTTCCTTATGGCCTAGAGGCTGTGAGCTCCACGGCCTGCTCACATGCTGCTGGTGTCTCCTTGACCAGACCCCTTTGGGTTCTGTGCTCTGTCTGCTAGAACTGCTTTTCCTCCTTTCTCATAGCCTCTGGTTCAGCATCCACTGGGTTCACAGAGTAAGGTTGGCATGTATGTGGAGGAATGACTTTAGTAGCAGCATGTAGGACTGATTTTTATAAACACAAAAAGTCCCCAGTGTTCTCAGTGTGTGGTACGTGCCAGGCCTTGAGCTAAGCTCTGTGTACAGAGCCTCATTGTTTCTCATTGCAGCAAGTTGTAGTTCGAGCATATAGCCCCTTTTACAGACTGAGAGTGCCCCCAGGGAGCCACCAAGTCAGGATCGAGGGCTCAAATGAAACCCTTCCCCCTGGCCTCTGAGCAGGATTCTTCTGGAAACTCCTCACTCCCCTTCCTGCTGGGCTGATGACCTGGCTCCTCCTTTTGGTTTGCTGGGCACTCCTGGGTGGGCTCCCCTCATCCCCCCAACAAGGCCAGACTCTGTCCTGGGCCTTGACTTGCCTGTACTCTTGTGTGCTGCCCACTCCCCACACCCAGCTGCTGTCGTTTCCACCTGGGCTTTTCACAGGTGGCCCCTCCCTCCTTCCCACCAGTTCCCAAACCCACTCAGTCTCTTTCTCCCCAGCCTTCCCTGGCCCTTAGATTAAGTTTGCCCTGAGTTATGCCAGCTAATAGGTCTCTCTCTAGAAGCTTCCAACCCCCAAAGGCAAGGAGGTTGGAGGGAGCAGAAGAAGGATAGAGAAATACATGATGAAGCTGAAAAAGTTAGTGCCTTGGAATAAATGCCATGTAGAATCCTGGTTTGTCCTCGTTGCCCTGTGTGGGGGAGTGAGAGCGCGGTCACGGGAAGATGCCAGCTAACTGCACACAGATTTAATCACCAGGTTCTGCCCGTTTACGCTGGCAGTGAGGAGCATACCCCTGAACCTTTGGGGTTGGTTCACTGAGGACAAATGAGGCAGTATTTAGAAAGTATTCCTTGTCCTGGCAGTAGACAAAAGCCACAGGATTTCTGGAAAGAGGAAGGAAGGCCCAAAACTGAGGCAAGGTTCTGGTTTTGTTCTTTTTTGTTTGTTTGAGATGGAGTCTTGCTCCTGTCCCCCAGGCTGGAGTGCAATGGTGCGATCTTGGCTGACTGCAACCTCCACCTCCTGGCTTCAGGCGATTCTCTTGCCTCAGCCTCCCGAACAGCTAGGACTACAAGTGCCTGCCACCATTCCTGGCTGATTTTTGTATTTTTAGTAGAGATAGGGTTTCACCACATTGGCCAGGCTGGTCTCTAACTCCTGACCTCAAATGGTTTACCCACTTTGGCCTTTCAAAGTGGTGGAATTATAGGCGTGAGCCACCGTGCCCAGTCTTGTTCTATTTTTTTTTTTTTAAAGCAGGTTTGTTCATGCTTGTCAGCTGCAAGAAAGGAAATGCTGGCAGGAGTTTAGGGAGCAAGAAAAGCCAATGGAGGGACACCCTAGAGTGGAGGCCTCCCTACTGCCCAGGTGGCTGCTCTGCAGCCCTCTCTAGTCCTGGCCTTTCCTGCAGTGGGCTCTCCCCCAGGCCAGCCCTCTATGATGGGCCGGAATACCAGGCTCCCTGGCATAGCCACCCCCCCCCCACACCTGGCTGTGGGCCAGCCTTGGGGATGTGAGGCATGCTGGGCCCTGTGAACCAAAGGCATTGACCTGTCCACACCAGCTAGCTGCAGAGGTGTGCTGCTGCTTTTGTGTTAATATCTTTCAATCCAGTCCCTTTCAAGAAGAGAGAGCTTATTCCAGGAACGTATCTGTTGTCTTCACCAGGAGTTGCCCCACTGTGTCCCATCTGAGCTCTCAGGAGCCAGAACCTACTGACTACGGTGTGTCCAGGTAGTGGTCCTATGGCCACTGTTCTCCCCAGCCACCTGCCCTCAGCAGTCACCAGGACGCAGTCTGGTGTCCACACTGCCCATCTGCTCTTGTTCTTTCCTTGTGGCAGCAAATTGGGTCCAAGAAAATAGATGGAGCTGAAAGAGTGGGAATGTACATGCCCCATGGGCTCTTCTCCAGAGGGCTTGCAGGGCCCAGGCTCCCTCCCCGGTCGTGACAGCCCATGACTGCATCTTCCTGTTACAGTGGGCACGCCTCATGGACTCAGGCTACCAGATCCAAGCAGGATTCTGTGCTGGGTGCATGCTGAACCACAGTGCCCAGCACGGTGTCCAGGGGGTGGCATAGCCCATGCCACAATGCTCCCTCGGCAGGTGTAAGCAGGCGGCGCCTTCCCCACTAGGGGCTCGTCCTTTGAGTGGAGAGGTACTGTTGCCTTCTCCTTCCCTGCTCCAATCCCAGACCTGACACGAGCCCAAGGGCTGGAAGGTTCTTTCTCGCCTCTCTGGCTGCCTCCGTTGAGCCAGTTCTGTCTTCAGATGAGTCTTTGAGGGGCTGCTTCTCATCCCAGGTGCTGGACTTGGACTGCCTTCCATTGACACCTGGGCACAGGGCCTGGTTTCCTGTTCTCATGGTCTCGGAAATGAAAGGATGCCCTTTGTTTTTCTTCCCACTAGAAGTCTCCCTGCCTCCCATCCTCAGGGCTCTGCTGGATGCTGGGGCAGCTGAAGAGCTGAGATAGACCCAAGTGCTGGGTGGGTGCTTGGTGGCCCCGAGGGTGTGGCTGATGAGACTGCTGCTTCGGGCCCTGAGTGGGTGCTGGGCTTCCTGAGGCTCAAGAGCAGATGAGAACTCTCGGGTGGCAGTGAGGGCTGTGTGGTTGCCTTCCCTGCTCTGGCCTCTGCCCAGCCTGCAGCTGCCTCGCTCCTCAGAGAAGCACCGAGCTTTAGGCGGTAGACAAGAGCTGACCGTCTCCTAGAAGGGGCAACTGCTCAAGCACAGGCGCCTCTCTGGAAGAGGTGGTCAGGGAGAGGCGAGGGGAGGGGCCCTGACCTGCAAGCAGGAAGAGGGGTGAGCTTGTGAGACAGCTTTCTGGGGTGCAGGTAGAGAGCAGCAGCAAGTCAGGCACGGTTGAGGGAAAGGGAAAGCGGTGACGGGGCTGCTGAGGGCTTTAGGAGGGGCCCCACCACAGGGCGGGCCGTGCTCCACAGGGTTGGGCTGGGCAGAGTCTTTGCTTCCCACTCCCTGGTGCCGTCTGTGGTTCTCTATGGAATTTTCTGGCCTTGGGATTTTGTTTACCCCTGGATGAGTCTAGAACGTGTGTTCCAGTGTCTGGGACATGCCCTCACTCCCCTTCAGCCAGGGTTCTGTGGACCCCAGCACCTTGAATGCACAGTACTTGGGTGTGAGAAACCTGCTGTACTTGTTCAACTCAGCATTTAGCAAATGAAGTAACACCAGTTCCCGTTTCTGACCTTGCTAACCTCAGCGAGAATCACTGTGAGCCATTTTGCTTCACTCAGCAGAGTGATGAGGCCCGGCAGGCCAAGGCTGGGGACTCCTGTACTCTGCCCCTCCTCTCCCAGGCAGGGGTGTCTTGACCACAAAGCAGTGGGAACAGTTCATTCCATCAGTTGATGACCCACTGGGCCAGTGGCTTTGGATAGGGACCTCTGACCCAGCTGTGCTGAAAGTGCCCTGCTCTGGTTACACCCTGTGCCTTAGCCCTTCACCCCTTGGTCTCCCAGCACACGTGGCTCAGGAGCAGCCTGCACCTGTGCAGTGCTATCAGGCACACCCCATGGAACAGGCAAGACAGAGCATTTCGCTCCGGGAGCTTGGTCCAGGTGGTGCTGAAAGGGCAGTGCCACCCTGCCTTCCGCTGCCTGGTGGGGTGGGGAGGAGGGCATTCTGTTTGTGGGCTCTGGGCCTGGGCCCCAATTTGAGGAGCTGAGAAAGTAGCAGTCCTATCCCAGCACTCACAGCACTGTGGTGGAGGTGCTTGGGGTGATGTGAGCCATGGCCCCAGGCAGGCTTTCGTGTCCAGAGTGCCCCTGGAGAAGCACTGAGTTGGTCTATAGAAATGGACGGTCCAGGGGCTGGGCTTCTAGGAAGCAGGTTATAAGGGGATGCTTGGCATGGTTGACTAGGGTGTGGGAAATGCCACCAGGGGCCCTTGGGGGCCTCTGAAGCTAGCAGGGCCTTTAGGGTGCCCCCAGTGTGGCAAGGGGTTGGGACTTCATGCCACCATTACCAGCACTGAGCAAGGCAACCCTCTGTTGAGAGTCCCTCTAGGGGAGGACAGATGCCCAGGGCTGGCAGACAGCTATCCTCCCCGTCAAAGCTGCCATCTGTGCTCCACCCCAGGAGGGTTTGGGTGTTTCACACATGCTCGTCTCTGGTGCCTGAGTGGTGTGGTTTCATTCCTAGAGTTTACAGATGAAGACAGTGGTATCCCTGGTGTGGACACTGGGGTGGTCAATCTTATTTGTGTTGGGCCCAGCAAAGCTTGGGGAGCAGAGCAGCAGCCTTGCTCTGCAGACACATAGGGCCTCAGAAGACTCAAGTGCACACCTGCGTGGCAGAACCAGGCTCTGGGCCCAGGTGTCCCACCTCTCCTTGGTGCGCTCGTGTGGGCTGATGCAAGTGCTACCATAGGTGCATGGGTGGCTCCCTGGTCCACCTTGCTCCAATTAAGCAGGTCCAGGTGGGACACAGCGTGGGACCAGCCCTGCAGCTGCATGTTTAACCACAACAGATGGCCATGGCCACTGGGCTTTTCCTTGGTGCAGTCAGCCTGGGGGCTGCAGGGGTTCATGGAAGCATGCGGGAAGACAATCCCACTGGTCAGCAGAGCAGGGTCCTCACCAACCCACAGAGCAGCGTGTCATGGGACAGGCAGGCGTGGCAGGGAAGGCCAGGCCAAGTGTATTGCCTCCCAGACTGCCCTTTTCCTCACACTCCCACGTCACAGCTCCAAAGCCTATGTCCTTGTGGGCCCCTGGTCAAGGAGCAAGGGCTTCCCTGCCCGGGTCCCCCTGCCAGCCTCTTGGTCACCTCATGCTGTGTGCCAGGCTGGGGAAGTGTGCCTGTGTGTGTGTCCAGATGGCATCTGGATGAAGACACAGGTGTGTGGTGAGGCTGTGCGGGAGGACGGGCCTGTGCGTGCGGTGGGCAGGTGGTGTGGAGGCGGGCGGGCGTGTGGTATCGCGCCGGCTGAGCCCCTCCGCTTCCAGGTCAGCCAGAGCAGCCTCCCCATGCTGTCCTCGCCATCACCGGGCCAGCAGGTGCAGACCCCGCAGTCGATGCCCCCTCCCCCTCAGCCGTCCCCGCAGCCTGGCCAGCCTGGCTCACAGCCCAACTCCAACGTCAGGTAGGCCTGGCCTGGGGTGCCCTCCCCGCCTGGCCCTTTGAGGCTGCCCTGCCTGGATCCAGCTCACATGTTTCTCTCACTTGGCTGCAGCTCTGGCCCTGCCCCATCCCCCAGTAGCTTCCTGCCCAGCCCCTCACCGCAGCCTTCCCAGAGCCCAGTGACAGCACGGACCCCACAGAACTTCAGTGTTCCCTCACCTGGACCTTTAAACACACCTGGTAAGTTGGGCCTGGGGTCTATGGCCCCATCGTGTGACCTGTACTCAGCCTGGCAGGTTGAGGTGCTGAGATCACTCCTCACCTTTACGAGGCCTCAGCCTGTACCGGGTGTGCGAGTTCTGGGGCCCTCAGAGCTCAAGCTCCCCACCTGACAGTCGAGGGCTGTGGCCTCACCTGCCTGTGTCCCGCAGTGAACCCCAGCTCTGTCATGAGCCCAGCCGGCTCCAGCCAGGCTGAGGAGCAGCAGTACCTGGACAAGCTGAAGCAGCTGTCCAAGTACATCGAGCCCTTGCGCCGCATGATCAACAAGATCGACAAGAACGAAGGTGGGCTGTGGCTGGGGCAGGGGCTGGCACCCTGGGGATACATCAGGGCTTGTGTCTTAGTGTACCCTCTTCTGTCCCAGACAGAAAAAAGGACCTGAGTAAGATGAAGAGCCTTCTGGACATTCTGACAGACCCTTCGAAGCGGTAAGCTTTGCCCACAGCCCCTGGAGGGTCCACAGGGTCATGGGTGGCCCAGCCATGGATGGATACTTGCTAATGATGTGGGTTTAGCAAGGGCACCAGGCAGCTCTTCGGGCCCTTGCCAGAGGCCTCCAAGGCCCCATCCTGGTGTGTGCCGGGGCTTCAAGCCCAGGCTTCGTCTTAGCTGGTGCCCAGCCTTTGCCCTACTCCTGGCTGCTGCTGTGATCCTCATACTTGTCTGTCACAGCCAGACCTCATCCAGCCAGCAGCCAGGGGCCCAGCTTGCAATGGCCTGACCATTAGCTGGCCATGGTGGGCCTGGGCCTGCCCTGGACTTCTGCCTCTTACTTGCCAGTGACCATGGGCAGGTGACTGTATCTCAGTTACCCCATTTGTAGCCCATGTGTGCTGTCATGAAAATGAAACAAGATGGTGCTGGTAAGAAGCAGGTGGAAGGCAGGCCCGCCGGCCATGGCCTGCTGTGAGGGTCAGAGCTTGGCCAGCACCTCAGAACAGCATGAGCATTGGCATATACCTCCCTCTCATCTCAACTCTGGCTCTCCCCCACCCCTGTCTAGAACAGTCTCTGTTCTGCTTGTCTGGATAGAATGCCAGTCACTATTGGATGGTCCTCCAAGCCTTTGTGAGTTGATCCTTTGTTAGGGTTATAGGGCTGAGCAGGGCAGGGACTGGCTTAGATGAGAATGAGGCCTTCCCAGCCTGGTCAGAGGCCTGGCCACTGTCCCTTCTCTTGACCCATGGCCTCACTCTGCTAACCAGAGACAAGTAGCTCCTGGGGGTGAGGGCTGCCTGCCTTAGACTCTGGGAACAGCTGGTCAGCTGGTGGGAGCTCCTGCAGAGGTTTCTGATGGCCGAGGCCCAGTGACAGTGGTTGGGATCCCAGATCCAAGCCTGAGAGCTGCCATTTCTCCCACCCTTCCAGCACAGAGGTCAGCCCAAGTCCCCTCTCTCTGCAGGTGTCCCCTGAAGACCTTGCAAAAATGTGAGATTGCCCTGGAGAAACTCAAGAATGACATGGCAGTGGTGAGTGGGCTGCCAGGCACCCCTGGGGGAACCAGGGCTCCCCCAAGAGCTTCTGGGAGCGCCACTGGGAGGGGCCTTCAAGATCAGTGTGGCTGGGTGGGGGCTGGGCCTGACCAGGGACCCTGCCCACCAGGCTTCCAGGCCAGGTCTGCTGTGCTGCGTCAGAATTTGGGATAAGTCACCCTCTGTCTACGGCCCCTGTGGGTGCCTCTGCCACCTGGTGCAGAGGGGGCAGGGACTCTGGGGAGGACAGGCTTTGGGGGTAGGGGATTATTCCCAGGATCAACCAACATTGTTTGCATAAGGGTGGAGGCTGTGAGAGAGGCCTTGGGAATCTGGCTGTGAGTGACGATGGTGCTGGGGTGGGAAGCCCCCTAAATGGGGAACCCTCAGGTCCCGGGCTGCTGACCGTGCCCATCCTGCCTCCAGCCCACTCCCCCACCGCCCCCGGTGCCACCGACCAAACAGCAGTACCTATGCCAGCCGCTCCTGGATGCCGTCCTGGCCAATATACGCTCACCCGTCTTCAACCATTCCCTGTACCGCACGTTCGTTCCAGCCATGACCGCCATTCACGGCCCACCCATCACGTACGTCCAGCTGGGCTGGGCTTTGCGGAGGGTGGCCAGCCCTGGGCTGCGTATGCCCAGTGTGGTCACCATGCCGCCTCCCCCAGGGCCCCAGTGGTGTGCACCCGGAAGCGGAGGCTTGAGGATGATGAGCGGCAGAGCATCCCCAGCGTGCTCCAGGGTGAGGTAGCCAGGCTGGACCCCAAGTTCTTGGTAAACCTGGACCCTTCTCACTGCAGCAACAATGGCACTGTCCACCTGATCTGCAAGCTGGGTGAGTGTCCAGGAGGGCCAGGGCTGGCATGGGAGAGCAAGCCTTGACCGCAGCCCCAAGGCTCTGCCCTCAGAGCCAGAGGGCACAGTGCCCAGAACCCACCCTGTGTTCGTGTCCCACCAGGCTGTCCACTGTGTCCCCACACACACTGGGCCCCAGATAGCCTGGCCATGCCTCAGTCCCCGCTGCTGGAGCCCACACACCCTCACCTCCTCAACACACATGTGGCTCTGCTTGTCTGGGGCCCTTAGCGGGGAGGTAGGCAGGACCTCTGGACACCCATCTACACAGGGCACTCCAGGCTTCATGTTTGGAAATCTGAGAGTCAGAGAGAACTCCAGGCTTTGCCACAAGCCTCACCAGAACCTTCCAGGGTGTGAAAAGTCCTGTTCCAGAGCAGGGCGGTGAGGCAGGGCAGGCCAGGGCTTGTCCAGGTCACAGATACAGCCTTCTGTGTTGCAGATGACAAGGACCTCCCAAGTGTGCCACCACTGGAGCTCAGTGTGCCTGCTGACTATCCTGCCCAAAGCCCGCTGTGGATCGACCGGCAGTGGCAATATGGTGGGTAGACCCAGAGGAGCTGTCTGGAGGCCCAGGGCAGGCAGGGGTCATTGTGGAAAACCAGGCCTCCAGTACAACATGGACAGCGTCTGCGCTCCTGCCTGTCCCTAGCTCAAGCCCCTCTCTCCCGTCTTCTGGCTCCCCCTGCACGGACAGGAGCGGGTTATCCAGTGGTCATCTGAGAAAGAAGGTCTCTGCTCCCACTGTGTCCCTTCAACCCTTTCATCTTGTGTCAGGTCAGCTGTCCAGGGTGGTCATGTTCAGTGGGTAAGGGGTGAGTAAGTCCACAGCTCAAGGACAGACCCTGCTCTTCCCAGAGGCCACTGGGGAGCTTGGTGGGGCTCACAGATCCCACCAGTAGCTTGGGCTTACAGGGCCCCATCTGGATGTTGTGGCTTCAGAGAGAACCACGGTGGCAGGGGGCAGTCTCCCTGAGCCCAGAAGTGGCACACAGCAGAACTGGGCTGGTTCCCCAGGGTTGTTAGAGGCAGAGCCTTGGGCTCTAGATCCTGTTGTGATTCAGTTCTTCACTGACAATGACGCTCTGGGAGGAGAGCCTGAAGGCCGGGCAGTGTGCAGGACATCACCTCCCTGTGCTTCGGCCCAAGGCTGGGGCTGCCCTTTCCCAGAGCATTGCTGGGTGAGCGGGGTGTGGGTGCAGTGTTGGCCACCTTAGGCTCACGCCTGCTGTTCTGTTGCAGATGCCAACCCCTTCCTCCAGTCGGTGCACCGCTGCATGACCTCCAGGCTGCTGCAGCTCCCGGACAAGCACTCGGTCACCGCCTTGCTCAACACCTGGGCCCAGAGCGTCCACCAGGCCTGCCTCTCGGCTGCCTAGCCAAGACTGCAGGGATGGCCCGTGGCCTCATTGGGGGCAAGGACACACGCCTCCTCTCAGACACTTCTAGGCGTTGGCTTCCTTAGAGAGCCTGGGGTTAGGTTAGCTTTCCTGCTTTTATCTTCTGCCTTGGGGACCTGCCAAACGAAATCCCACACCTGTACAGAACCGAGATGGGAGCAGTGGAGCGGGCTGCTTGGGGGGCGTTGGCTGACTTCTCAGAGAAGGCCCTCCATGTGACTTCTTCTAGGGAGCCAGATACGATCCTTGGGTTGCTCTCACTGTGGCCTGTCCAGGGTCCAGGTCCGTCGCAGCAGCATAAGGGTGCACTCAGGGTGTTCTTAGAGCGTCTTGTGTGTGCTAGACACACCCCTACTTGTTTC